CTACAAATTTTATGGGCACTGATATTTGGATTTCATATAATTTTCCCATTTCACAAAATGTTTCCTTTTTATTTTATTTTTTATTGTACTTTAGATGAAGGTTTACAGAGCAAATAGTTTCTCATTAAACAGTACAATATTGTTTTACGATAATGGTTAACAATCCCACAACATGTCAACACTGTCCCTTCTCAACCTTGGGTTGGTTCCCTATTACCAGCTTTCCTGCTTCCTCCTGCCTTCCAGTCCTTGTCCCTGGACTGTTGTGCCCCATTAGTCTCGTTTTGTTTCATGGGGCTGTTTAATCTTTGGCTGAAGGGTGAACATTGGGAGTGACTTCAGTACTGAGCTAAAAGGGTGTCCAGAGGCTATACTCCCGGAGTTTCTCCAGTCTCTGTCAGGCCAGTAAGTCTGGTCTTTTTTTGTGAGTTAGAATTTTGTTCTACATAAAAAATGTTTCTTTTGATTTTTTTTTCAACCATTTGAAAATACAAACAACATTCTTAGCTTGCAGGTTGTACAAAAACAGGCGGGTGGGCCAGATTTGACTGGTGATCCATAGTGTGTGTACCCCCATGCTGAGGCTGGGCTTTCGCTGGCAGGATTTTGGTGTCTCCCCTGCATTTACCAGTTAGAGCTCCAGCTGGGTGACTGTCTGTTGCCGGAGACAGCCTCAATGTTGTTGCTGTGTGCTGTCCAGTTGATTCCGACTCATAGCGACCCCATGTGACAGAGTAGAACTGCTCCATAAGGTTTTCTAGGCTGTCATCTTTATGGGAGCAGATCACCAGGTCTTTTTTCCCGTGGAGCCACTGGTGAGTTCAAACCAATGACCTTTTGGTTGACAGCTGAGCGCTTAACCATTGTGCCACCAGGGCTCCTTGGCCTCAATGTAGGGCTGCACTTACCTTGTTTTTAGGGAGCTGAGGCCCCCTGGGTGTTGATGTGTGTGGGCACCAGGGTCCACTGGTCAGAGCCTGATGGGTTCCTAAAGTGCGTGGAATCTATGGGCACCCACAGTTAGTGGAAAGTTGGGGCCATGTCTGCAGCCTGGAATACACAGGAACACCCCAACCTCGGTGGCCAGCATTTCTGTACAGATCAGTATTTCTTTTCCTGCTACAGGCTACTAAGTAGCATTTCTGTGGCACATGCCAGGAGGTCCACCTGCCACTATTTCATTTCATCCTTAGCACAACCCTACTGGGCGGAATCAGGATTTGAAGCAGATCTGTCTGGCTCTAAAGCACATGTTCTGGACTGTTCACCACAGAATTCCTAGCGATTGGACCCCACGCTTTGACACTAAGTGACCAGGCCTGGTGAACTTCCCAACCTCAAGGAACCTCCATTGTGTTCCTTTCTCCTCCTTAATTATATAGGTGCTACACGGTGTTGCTGTGAGGAGTGAAACATGGGTATAATGCCTGGAATATGCCAAGTGTATAGTATGTGTTCAATAACCACGAGCTGTTTTTATTAATTCTCCAGCTAGTTGGTGTGTAGAATGGGCACTGCCCTGGTTTTGGCTTTGCAGCCCCAGGACTGAAGGCTACGGATGGAAGTCACAGGGCGACGATTTCGGCTCCATCTCAGGAAGATGCCCCACCTTACAACAGTGTCATGCGTCCCGCTAGGGCTAGGGGGCGGCAGGAGCCAGCCGGCTCCCTAGCGGTGCCAGCTGGGTGGGGGGCCCAGGAAGGCTGTCGAAGGGACACCAGGTGGAGGTGGCAGTAGCCGGCCTCTAGGGAGAACGTAGCCCACGGCAGCCGGTGCCGCATAATGACGGGCCAGGCTGGACGCCACCGTGCGCCACTCCGGAGAGCAGCGGCGCCTCCTTTGTCCTTGAAAGCTGGCTGCAGCTGGGGCCCTTCCTGGGAGGGTTCACGTCCACAGCTGCGGCAGACATTTTGCTGTTCCGGGCAGGGACAGACTCAGCTCTCCGGTCCCGGAGATGGCCTCCTTCTGCGGGGCTTCATGTGAAGGGTCGCAGCGCGTGCCGAGCATCTAACTCGTTCTTCAGCTCGGCTCTGCAAACGTGACCTTGCGTTTTCAGCGCTTTCACCGGAGCCTCGGGAGCGCTGGTCCCGCCGCCCGGCCCCGGGCTCGTGTCCGTCAGACGCACAGGTAGCGGCCCTTTGTCCAGCCGCTGTGCCCTCCAGTCTCCGGCGGGGACGCGGGGCGGCGGGCAGCAGCGGCCGGGGCCAGCGCGGGGCTCCCTCTTGGAACCGCAGTAGGAGGGGCCCCAGGGACCAGCCTTAGGCCAGGACACCCAGCCACCACGGACCCAAAGTCAAGGCTGGCGGGGTCCCTGGGCGTGCGCTGCCTCCGCTCCCAGACCGCCCAACCCGCCAGCGGCCGCGGCCCCGCCCCCGCGGCAGCCCCGCCCC